AGACCTAATAAATTAAAATTATCTATATAATATAATAAATATTAATATACAAAAGTAAATAAAATAAATATATATTATATTATTAATAATATAATTAAATAAATAAATTTATAATAAAAAAAATTAAATTATCAACATTTTTCACTATTTTACTATACTTAAAAGTTATACGTTATTTATCCATACAAAATAAAAAAAAAATTAAAAGTAGAATACATTTCCTTAGTCTTTTTCTTCATAAATGAGATATAGTGAATAATTAAATTGTTTTTTATTAGAAAATAATTTTATTAATTTATTTAAAATTAAATTTATTGATATACTTAATGTTGCTAATTTAAAATATTTTTATAAATAGATTAACAGACTAAACTTTAAAAAAAAATTGATCTATATTAAATAATAGACCAAACTTAAATTTTAATTTTATAAAATAAATCAAACTTATATATTTAAAGATTGATTTGACATATTCTTACTCTTAATTTTTATTATGAATTAAAATAAAGTTATAAATAAAAAATTTCAACCTTTGATTTCTTAACTCATACCCTATACACTGGTTATCATTTTCCTTTTTTATACATCAAATAAAAAGTTATGTTTTTTTTAGGGCAAAGTTAAAATGTCATAATAATTTATATAGTTTTTGTTTATTTTCTCTTAATAAATATTAAATGGGTTTTAACTATTATGATGCCAACAAAAAATAAAACATATACAAAATTTAAATAAGATAATTTTATTTTATTTTTTTTTAAAGTAAATGTATCCCCTTTATGTCACCATTGTATACATTTTGTGGTAATTAAACTAGAAGAATGCGAAAGGCAAGGAAACTTTTCTCATGGGGGCAACCATGATTGATGACATGATGACAATGAGATAAGTATGAAGTAGAAAGATATTCAAGTGTCAAACTTTTCATGTTTTTTTTATGGAAAACAACTTGTGTGAGTAGCATGCCAAAATGCTGATTACTGAACAACATTTGATGCAGTACCGGGACGCTTTTCGAGGCCAGGTTCACCAAACGAGTCCAATAATTGGCCTACATTCATATATGTTGTAATTCAGAACTAGAAGTTAAAAAAATCCTCCACCGTTTATGTTCAACGAGTCAATCATAATCGCCTAGTGTTCTGAACATTTATGTTATGTATAAATAATGACGCCATTTCCCTCTTATCTCACTCATATGTAGACACCATATCAACATTTCAACGTCACATGTAATAATACAGACCCACCCCACCATTACTCTACTTTGCCTATATATGTTCCTTCCACAACCTCAGAGAAAAGGGTCGCATAGTATTCTTTCAGATATGGCTAGAATTCCGGTGAGGTTTCAGAGAGTGGCAGCGGCGTTTGACGCTGACGTGGCACGTGTGAGGCTCTGCGAGAGTAGCGGCAGCGAGCACTCGCCGGAGACTTTAACCGATTTGTCTTATCTCGTCAAGTCCTTCATGGAGAAGAACGAGATTACCCCAGAAAAAGAAGAAGAACAACAAGTGGGTGGTGTTGAGTGCGAGGAAGATCATGATGAAGAAAAAGAAGAAAAATCTGATTCGGAGAAGAGGGAAATGTTGCGGAGTTTGTTTTATGGGAATGAAGGTGATAATGATGAAAGGGAGGCCAAAGAAACAATTAGGAGGGAGGTTGAAGATGCATGTCGTGTTGTTGGCAACAATTCCAAACGCCGCTTGATGTCACGCTTGAGGGAAAAAGGTTTTGATGCTGGTTAGTATTACAGTTCATCTGTTATATCATTCATACAAAAATTAGATGCAGTTTTAATGTGTATTCAACTAGAATTTGAGTTTCATTTCTGTACATAATAAAAAACTGTGTTTTTGTCCCGGCTTATTAACGTTTATCTCTTATTTCAATCCATCACTTTAATTTTGACACATTTGAAAATGGTTGGTTAGGAGAAAAGAAAAAAAAAAAACTATTCCAATTTTTTCGGTTTATTCCCTTGGATCTAGATTGAACTGATTAATCTATTGCATTATATATGTCTACGTTCTAAGGGGCACGTGTCATTCATCATATATCATATCCACGTGTAATCAAGATGCAGAGTATTTTTCTATTTTTATGTTCAATTATTTTCAAAGTAGCATACATATGAAGTTGCCAATCGATGAGTCGCATACGTTGAAATGATTAAATTATAAGACTTGGTTTGATAAATTATATACTGTCTATGTGCAGGACTGTGCAAATCCAAGTGGAAGAAAAACGGTAGATTAACAGGTGGTGATTATGAGTACATTGATATGAATTTGAAGGGAAAACGGTACATAGTTGAAGTTGGCCTTGCTGGCGAGTTTGAAATAGCTCGTCCCACAAATCAATATACTTCGTTGCTAGATGTTTTCCCATTGATATATGTGGGCAAAGTGGAAGAGCTGAAGGAGGTTGCGGTGCTGATGTGCGCTGCTATTAAGAGCTCAATGAAAAGAATGAACCTGCAGGTACCACCATGGAGGAGAAATGTATACATGCAAGCAAAGTGGTTTGGTGCTTACAAGAGAACTACTAATGCAGATGCAACTAAAAGTGCTTCTGAGTCCTTATTTCCTAAGAGGTCCATTGGATTTGAAGTGCTACCTGTGAAAACACACAATTGCAGGGATGTTTATGTAACTAAGACTGGCTTCAGAATTGGTCATTTGACAACAGCTTTTAATTCTGATAGTCTTGGTGTGTGATTGAAGTCATATGCATTCTATTTGTATACAAGTGTTTTTGATTGAGTCAAGTGTCTTGGCCAAGAGAGCACAAAAAGTCGTTGAGAAAAAATTTCTCTTATGCACAGCTCTGGCATATTTTTGTCTTATAGGTTAGATCATAGATGTAGTAAACTAGTAAGCAAGGTTCTATGCTACTTGCTAGCATTTCTTTTATTTATTTGGGAAGATAATGTTGAAGAGAAAGAAAAAAACACATTGTACAGTTAAGATAAAGATAAAGAATTGGTTTGTTGGCAAATGGCAAATGATCTACGGTGTCTTCAAATTAAATTTTGAGCATATTAGTTGCTGAAAGATAATTGCCTAGACATTTATTGGTCTGCCACTCTATCTCCAACTACTTTGCTAGCTATGCCTACTGGTCCCACAAAATGAATTGTGTGGCACATTATCAGGAATATTTGTGGCATCTTTGAATATGTTATTCACCAAAAGCTATATTGTAATATAAACTATTCAACTCTTTTTAAACTCGATTTACCACTTCTGGGAAACGAGATGATTTCACTTCAAACAAATAAGTGTATCTAGTGAGTGGATCGACCACTTTATTATTATAGTCACTGGATCAGGACATCAACTATTAATGAAATTGTTTGCCTCTACTTATTAAGGAACACTGTTTTAAAAAACTGAATTGGGAAGTCTATTCAACCTGTAACCAGCTAAGTATACCTCACATGAAATGGTTATAACTTAACTAATAATATGGTTCAAGTATTTGGTATGCAAGGAAGAGCTTGAGTACAAGAAAGAAAACACACTAGTCTAGAAAAAGAATATAGAAACTAGAGACAAGAACCAATTAATCCTGTCACCAAACAGACTAAACTTAACAAGTATTAATGACAAAAAGAAAACTAATTTGAACTGATTTAAAAAAGTGTTTTTAAAAATTTTTAAATTGTGATAAAAATTTCGGTTCTAAGACTTTTTTTTTAAATGTGAACGGATGAAATCAGCGTACAAATTACAATTATCTGATTATTCATTTTAAACTTTTTGAAACGGGCAATATGATATTATTAATTAATTTGAAATTCTATCAAGTTAATATTTATTCATAGTTTTATATCCCAATTATCTACAATTGAACTAAAGAATCATAAGTAAATACTTGTATCTACCGGTATTTTAGTCTTAGAATTTCAAAGGTTAAATATTTATTATATAATTAAAATTTATAATAAATTATATATAAAAAATATTAAATATACAAATTATATTTATAATTTTTATAAATAAGTTTTTTAAATATATAAATTATATTTTACATTTAAAATAAGTAATTTACAGTGACAAATTTTTTTATAGTTATTAATAATTTAGTTTAAAATATTAAATTTTAATTTATAAATAAATGTGATAAGTTAAAAAATCGAATCAAATAAGAAGTTAAAAGAATCTTAAAAACTCTCTTAATGGAGAATCGACTCTAAAAATACTCACACACAAAATAGTGATTCTCGTTTAATATGGAAGGATGAATCCAATAACAATTAGTCTTAAAAATATTTTACCGTCACTAATATCAATTTAAGTTATGAATATGATACTTCACCTCAAATTTTGAAAATATTATATTTTAAAAAAAACTAATGTTAAAAAATAAAGTATTATCATTATTAACTCTTAATAAATATATTATAAATTAATTTTAGAAGTCTCTCAAGCAATGCATATTCAAATATATAAAGACAACTTATAAAGTTTAGTTTTATGACTATAAAATCAATTATTAATTCTCTTTAAAAACTTGTGTGTAATATATATATTTTTTTATTTTGTTATTATGATTGATATTATGTGTGTAATATATATATTTTTTATTTTGTTATTATGATTGATATTATGTTAGTGAAGTAAGTACTTTATACGAGTTTTATAATATTATTCATACCAAGTACCAACTATTCTATAATCATATTAAAATGTCTTAAATTAATTCTAACTTTAATTATACAAATACAAATTAATTATTAATTTTATAAAAAAAATTGTCAATAATGTGATAAAATTAAAGTTTAGGAATTTTATATCTAAAAGAAGTAAATTTATGGAATTTAAATACTCTTATATAATTTTATAAATATTTCTAAGATCTTGAATTATTATATTGTTCTTATTTTAATTGTGCATTAATTGTCACATATATGTATAATCACACTTTAATAAATTATTTATCTTTCATGCAATTTTACATAAGTAATTTATTTTATCTGTAATAAAAACCATGTCTAAAAAAGAAAGAAATGTTTTTGTTAGAAGTCCAATATGTATAACTACTTCATTTTCCTTTTATATATATATTTTTATAGTTTAATTTTTAAAATAATTAATTAAAAAATATAATATTATTTCTGTTAGCATAGTTTTAATTATTTTATTAATTTACTTTGTATATTATTATCTTAAATTTACTTTCTTAAATTAAGGATAATAGCATAATTTTAAATTAAGCATTAAATAAATCTTTGTAATCCTCTTCTTTCATTATTTAAAATGATAATTTTCTTTTTAAGTTTCATGTTTTTTTTTACAAGTTTCTTGTTATTCTTTCCTAACTGTATAATTTTCAATATATGTTCATAATACTCTTCTTTTTACAATAAGAAGATTATTCATTTAAAACACTTGATGAATACGCATACATATTATACATGTATTTTTCTCTATTGAATCAATGTAACTATACTTTTTAAATTTTATTAAGTATTAAAAAAAACTAAATAAGCCTAGGAACTTAATAATATTAGTAAAATGATGCATCCCACATAATAATTATATAACAATGAGAACTTAATAAATATTATATAAAATTATATAATTTTAGCTTTATTTTGACTTATTGTTGATGTGTTTCAAACTAATAATTCGAAAACTTAAATCAAACTGAATCCAAGCTAAAAATATATATATATATTTATTTCAAATTCAATTCAAATTTAAAGTTCGATTGATTCTTATCAATCCAATCCAAATAAAGTTGAATCAGGTTTGTTTCAACTCAACCCATTTACCATCCTAATTATCCCCACCCAAACACCATTCCCAATCCAGGTGTTTGAAAATCCTAATTATCCTTATCCAAATGTCATCCTCACTCCAGCGATGTTTGACTGAACCACTTATAAATGGCTTTCTTTGAAACATAAAGATAGCATTTTTTTTTGTACAATATGGGACTTGTTGAAGTACAAATTCAGGGATGAAATTCAAAATCCTCTTCATTGAATCATTCCATTGAACACAGTGATATGAGTTCTTTGCGGGGTATTGAGATTTGAGACCGATGATTTTGATATAGAAGAAATAAAGGATATTTTCTCAATAAAAATTTACTAACTTGACAAGTTTTACAGGAGAAAAAATATGCAACAACAGATTAACATAAAATTCATATATTATTTTGTTTATTTTACAAATATTATACAACTATCTTGAATTAAAAATAAATACCTTCCCTATCTTTTTCATACAAAACTCTGCTTTTAAAGTAGATCAATATTATGTTCGGGGGCAGTACTAAGATGCCAAACTATACAAACATAATAATAACCAAGAAAAAAAAAGGTAAGTCAGGAGAAACTTGGCACCTGCAAGCCTTGGGATTATTTACCAATAGTAGCAGCTTAATAAAAGAGTAAAAACCAAAAATTATTATTTTAAATTAATAAATCACACGAGTAGAACAGGGGAGTAGAGGACAACAAAAATAAAATTGGACTTGTAAAGCCATGGCCTCGGAATTGCATAATAACAGCAAGGCGTGACAAAGCCATTCAGTCCCGAAAGATGGTTTTGTAAATGATATCATCATCAGCAAGTGGCTATACTGTAAGCAGACAAGTGCACACTACCAATCAAGAAAATTAAACTTATAACAAACGTCATATTTTAGGTTATACGTCCCTAACCAACTAACACAGCTTGAACAAAAAGTTTGAAGGGCAAAATAAAAAGAATTAGTGAGCCCCTTTGTTTCAGACAATGAATTAGCAATTAATCATGTGATATTGTTTTTATTAACCATTGCAACTTGATGAAACAATTTCACATGAAAAATCAATTTTATTGAGGACAAAGAAAAAAACAACACATGGCTGTAGGCACCTATAGACGCAATCTGCTGGAAAATCAAAGCAGATTGCCTGGAAAGTGACCCAGAAGTGTTCAATGTACGAGAAGGGTCTTCAAATAAAACGAAATCATAAGCTCGTTTTACTCTTCTCCCCTTATCAAGACAAACCCAAAAAGATCAAACAAATAAACAAAAAAATGAACCTTATGATAAGGAGAAAAAATGTGAAAAGCTCGGTAAGCAGATTAGTTGACAGGGATCACAACAACCGGCCAGATAGCTTCTCTAACAGCATTGATATAGCTACAGCCACCATGGCACATTCAAGATCAAGGATACAACTTTTTTGTTCACACCCTTCCCTTGGTACATGTAGCCTTCCCCACAACAAATCCAAACCAAATAACCAACAATTTTAATAAAGTTTGCTTTCAACAAAATTCAGAACCATTTCAGTCACAAATCAAAAGCAGCCATTTTCATAACATCAAATACTAACATATGAAACAGTAATAAGCAGCCTCAGAATTGCAGAATAACAGCAAGGCAAAAGAAGCCATTCAGTCCCGAAAGATGGTATTTGGTAACTGATATCATCACTGGCTAAATTTTGATTTCAGAAAGACGCAAAGGAAAAGTGGTAATCAAGGAATGATCTTTGATTCCGCTACATGTAAGATAACCGACAATAAGATAAATAGGAAGTGTTGGTGACAGACTTTGGAAGATTACCTAGGTCGAAAATTTAAGTTGTGAGCTCTGAGCTTTAACCATAACCCTAACCCTAGAAAAAAATTGGGGGCGAAGGGGAACTGAGAGATGACTCCTATTTATCGTCCGTGTCACAGACTCACAGAGCTACTCTGCGCTGAGGAAAGATCACGGCCGTTCGTCTTGGACCAATCTGATGGCTACGATAGTGGAAGAATAAATAAATATTAGTCAAATTAAAATATATTTTCAGTCAGATGTAAATGCAACCATAAAAATATATTGTTAGCTTTGTTTAGATTTTAAATGATTGTAATAGAATTATTTTTATTGTGTGCTCATTTTCATATAATTAAAATTCATAATAAATTTAAGAATATAAATGATAAATTAAAATATATATTATTGTTAATATTATAATAAATAAATACTTTTAAAATACATAAATTATATTTTCAATTTTATAATGAGTAATTTAAAGTAAGATATAAGGTTATTTTAAAAAATTAATATTTTCGTGTAAAATATTAAAAGTTAACTTATAAATAAAGAGATAAATATTAGATTAAAAAATATAGATAATAAAAAGTGTCAAAACAAAACAAAACTCAATATTTTTGTCCATAAAATATTCGAATGGAGTTAGGTTGGTATAATTCATTTTGAATTAGATTGAAAATTTTAATTCAACTTAGTGTTAATGAGTTATGAGTTAAGTTTGGTTGGTTTGATGAATTTTAGAAAACGTATATAAAAAATAAATGACTTATAAGTTTGTCTATTAAATAATTATGAATTTTATATCTAAATTTATTATGATGGGTTTATTTTTTGCTTTTAAATTTTCAAGTAACTTATAATATTCATTGATCTAAATTTTGATATCTTTATCTTTAACTATTGTTTAAAGATAATAGTTGTTGATGACTAACCTCTGTTTTATTACGTCTTCATATTATATTTGAGAATGAAAGAATCTATTGTATTTCTTACTTTTTGTATGAGTGGTTCACATTGAATAAATTGTTAAATAATGTACTAAGCAAAGTATGACAATATATCTAATAAGGTATGGACACGCTCTTACATTTAGGATATAAACAAGGTTTCACATTATTGGATCATAAAGAGAAATAAAAGTTTATAAAACACACATAGTCTCTATTAGTATGAGATATTTTGAAAGATGATCAAAAGCAAAATCACGAGAGTTTAAGCCTAAGGTGGACAACATCATATTAATGTAGAAACGTGTGTTTGTGTGAACCCCAAGTGTCTAACAATGATATCAGATCGAATGGTAGACCAGGTGACCAGCTCAGAGTCTTAGACAAGTATATGGCAATGGGAGGTGGTGGATCCAAATGTGTGATCCCTTATGTTAAAAGTCTTCTTAACGATGTGGAGGTCATATAGTGTGTTATGTTGATGTAAGCTAACAACGGTGCAAATATATAAAACTGACAAGTGTGGCTAAAGCTCTAAAAACCACCATCAAATACTCGTAGATGAATAAAAAAAGTTTCCACTAAAGAGAGGTTAAACCATGGTCCTTTATTTGAAAGGAGGCTTGTTGGGCTACAAATAAAGTCCTACATAATTGGATCATGAAAAGAAAGGAAAGTTTATAAAACACACATAGTCACCATTGCTACGAGACTTTTTGGGAGATGTCCAAAAGTAAAATCACGAGAATTTAAGCCTAAAGTGAACGATATTATACCAATGTAAAGACATGTGTTTATGAGAACCCCAAGTGTCCAACACTTGCTAGTTAAATTTTTTTGGCAATAAATACTCTAATATTTTAAACATCTTGTAGATGTTTGGCACATGTTGCAATAGCAATGATTTGTTGTAAGTGCATCAACCATAAGTCCTTATGATTATAGATGTTGGTTGCTGAGGTGTCCAATGCAGTATTAATGATGTATATACTAAACTGACAAGTTTTTAACCCATAAAAGAAAATGTCAAGAAAGAAAAAATTGAGAGAGAACACATTAGAGAAAGTTGCATTATTCGATGGGTTTATATACTTCATGGAACATGATATTTATATGAAAAGATAAATGATCGTTAGATAACCATTAAACACAAAAATAAAATACATTTAATTTAAAATGTTAGCAATTAAAAATATCAAAAGTCACTTAATTAAATTATTTTACAATTGATTTTAACGGAAAACATTAATAATTAAAATAGAAGGTTCCACAATAGACTATGATTTTCAAATTTAAAAGCTCATAATCACACAAATAAGAGAAAAATTGATATATTTTCACTACAACAAATCAACTTGACCCAAATTCATGTGGGTAAACTACACAACCATTGCTAGTCAGACATGCATACACACACACACACATATATATATATATACAAAGAAATTTG